TTGGTCTTTATGTAAGACTGGCCTCTCTCTAAGGCCAGTTCCCTTTAGTCTCAGGCTCCTTTACGCATAAACCCCAAAAGCATCCCTATCACCTTTGAGTGAAGTGCTTCACCTGTTGGCTTCACAAGAGGCCTGAGACGGATTGCTTGATATTCGCATGTGATTTATCAGTGTAACAAATACTTCTTAACCAACACACTACTCGCCACAGTCTGTCAGATGTCAGACAAGGACACTCGGCGGTCCCGGGTTTGGGGGTCATGGGGCGTAAGTCGATGGCCAGCGGGCCCAAATAGGCAATCGCAATTCCAAAGCCCTCTTCCCTCCCTCTCCCTTTCGAGGAAACCAAGGTCCAAGCCCGCCATGTTAACAGAAATATGATTACTTCAATTCCATTTCGTGAGTCGCTCGAGTTGCTTCAATTGCCAAGTAGTAGCCACCGCTACAGCACTCGATGCGATGCAACTCATATTCGGCCAAAATCATACAAAGGCTCCGGGCTGTTTTTATCCTTCCATCAAGGCGACAGCTAAAGTCATAGAATGCGCATCAGCCAACCTGCACGGACCTTGGTTACAATTATACGAGCCTACCCTAGGGTCGGACAAGTATGACAGATAATTAGCCAAACCAGTCTATATCTATCCAGGTTTTTAATGTTTAATTTCTTTTGGCTTAGCTTAGTCTATATAAAGGTAAGGAAAAGCCAGATAGTCTTCTTGGCCTAGTGTTAAGTTTTGACTTTTACGAAAATGACACGCAGCTCTGACGATGTCCATCGAATGATGGACGAAAGCTCAGCACGTTTTCACCCGTAAACGAGGGAGCAAATCCCGTGGACTGCGTCAACATGAATATCCTATCCAGTCCAACCGGCTGCAGTATAACGAGTTTCATCCGTGCTCATCTGGTGAGATCGACCAACGTATCTCTTCTTCATGCACTTTCATACGAAATAAAGGTCCCTCTAACAATGTTATCTCAAAAGATTCATCGAAACCCACTTTCTCTTCGTATCTACAATTATATGAGCCTACACGAGGGTCGGATATGCTCTGTCTGTCAGTTCCCCAAAATGCACCTTCGGAATTTTTAAGAAAAATAGAGCTTAGAAGTCCTTAAACC